CTTCCCGGGTCGTTCCTCCCGGCCTTTCTCGGGTCCTGCCAATTCCGCATGCATATCATCCTCTGCCCTTTCTTGCCCTTTACTTAATTGACTCTTCCTGTACAATGCTTGGTTCACCCCTTTGCCACTTCTCATCTTTTCAAGCTTATACGAGCCGGTTACATAGCCAACTCTCAGTCTGCCAGTTCCAGTTCATACCATGTCACCTGCTCAAGTCCTTTCTGCACTGGCGTCTTGCTAGGCCCCCTTTTCTCAGGCCTATACAAAGTCAATTACAACTTTTTTTTTTTTCTGTTCCGGCCATCTGGACAGGCCCCTTTTTCCCAAGCCCATGCAAAATCAATTGCCAGTCTTAATTACATGCGTATTTATTGGTAGATGGCACACCTTCCCCCCACTCAAAACGCGATGTCCCTATCGCGTGACTGGTTCTCACTTGGAGGTACGAGACCTTTGGCCCACCAACCGCAGTCAAGGACACAAGCCCATCCGCTTCACAAAAGAAAGAGTGATCAGTTCCTTCCCAGCGGACGACGCCTCATCCTCCTTCTCGGTCCGACCTTTCTTCTCTTACGTGGCGACCACCAACACGTAGGTTCCTCCTCTCGTCTGTCAGGCAGGTCCAATCCAAGCCTCCCAGGGTCTCGTCTAGCCATAAGAGCGTTCCTCGCGAATCATTCCTCCCGAGTGGTGATTTTCTGGATTCCGGCCTCTTTCTTTCAAGAGAGTTGGGGCTCTCAATTAGTCCGCGAGTGCAGTTACGAAGACCTCGCAATTAGTCCCGAAGCGGTTGTAATGCTCCGGCAGGGCAGTGTCAGTGCCCCGTGGTGGCCGCGGACTCCACCCGGTACTCCGCCAAGCCTCTCCCCTTGGATAGTGCCGCCCAACTTAGCGCGGGCAGCCGTGGTCCGACCCAACCGGCCATGCCACCCCTCCATGGCATGACGTGTGGTTGGAGAGTAGCAAAATAGACTAGATGAGAATGACTTTCCTGCCCATTTGACTCTCTTGCCCTTTGACGTTTAGGCATTCAACAGGAGGTGCGGTTGGAACTCCCCGACTAGAGCTCATTGTCGGGGGTGGTTCCGGACGTCCCGCACCGATCCAAGTGGTAGGTGCCTTAGTCCTTTAACCCTCATCCTCTTCGAAGAGGATTAGGTCGCGCTGAGACTTTTTCCCTCAAAGGGATAGAGGTCTTTGGGGTCGCGGTGCATGCACCAGTATCCCCCTCTTGATGAGGCCAAAAATTAGAAGAAAAGATAAATTTCATTTCAATGCTCTTTCCAAGTCCATTTCACGTTGCCTAGGGTCCCCTGTTTATGCAATGCAATTTCCAAATCTCAATCCAATTCCAATGCTCCGTCTCATTCCCATACTCAGTCTCGTTCCCATGCTCAACCCAATTTCAAGGCTCAATCCAATTCCGATGCTCAATCCAATATCCCTTCCAAGGCTGAGTTCTTCCAATCTCTTTTCCAAGGCTCAGCTCTTCCAATTCCATGCCTCACAAGCAACCATGCAAAGGGACCCCAGTGCCAATTCCAAAGAATGACCCTTATCAGGGGCCATTCCGAACAACCTGGTTAGGGTCGTTCTTTCCACTTCCAAGTTGAACAGCCTGGTTAGGCCATTCTTATCCATTGCAATCGGATGGCCTGGTTAGGACCATCCTTATCCATTTCAATTGGGCAGCCTGATTAAGGCCATCCTTGTCCATTGCAATGTTAGCGTCCGAGGGGGTGGGCCTCGAGGACACAGATCCTATCTCGTCTCGGGGGTTAGAGGGCGACCATCGTCTTGGGTTTTTACGCATGCTTCTTCCTTTTCCTCATGTTTTTTGTCATTCTTATATTCATCCATACATCCGACTTAGCGTCTAGTACTCAAGTTGAGGCTCGCGGCCCCAAGCAGCACTAGCCCGCCTGACTGTTCAACCATTGCAACGGGTGTTGCATATTGCAATGTTTCCCTGCCACTTTTCTGACTTCTCATATGCTTCTCAATGCTCTGGGATTGCCTAGGGTAGGTTGGATTAGGCTCCTAGGGGAGAGGGTGGCTCTCTTCCCATAGGTCCTCTAACCTCTCACAAGGACTTGTGGAGCGACTCATTTAATCATGGATACACAATTTCGAAAGAAAAAATCTCGCCATGACTGCATCTTCCAATGTTCAAGAGTTCACATGCCCCTGCCTATTTCCTCGAGGCAAAGTCAATCATCCCCAAAGTCCATTTCTTACTACCAAAAAAAAGTTCACGTTTTCCCCAAAGAAGCGAATACTCGTACAAAGTAGCACAAGCCTCCCAACCCTCAATAGTTTTTTCAATCCAAAAAGTAGTTTCATTACAGTCCTTCCCAAAAAGGAGGAGACAAAGTTCGAATGCAACGACAACATTACAGACTCGTCTCATCTAGGGCCCCCTTGTTTTCCCCTTGCTTACTCTTAGCCAACGCAACCCGTCACAGTTCTATATCTAAGTGCACTGACCCTTATGTATTTTCCCGAAAAAGCAACGACTTACACGAAGTAGCACCCATTGCCCGGTCTTTAGTCAAAAGTTGTCTCATTTCAGTCCATTTGGCAGAGTTCAAATGCGAACTTCAAAATGGCAGTTGTCCCTGCCCAGGTACCAACCCTTCCTAATTTCTAGTTACCCCCCCATTGCGCCTGCTATTCCCCTAATGTCCAGGTGGCCTGCGTTGAGCCTCCCTCCTTGCGTGATTCTCCCGTTCCTGCTCCATTTGCCTCTTTATTCCTTGGAACTGGAGGAGTGTCTGTTTTGTGAAGAAGGTTGTTGGGGCTAGATCCTCTCCCCTGCCCAGCTTTTCCCTTGCCTTCATGATCCACTGGTATCGCAAGATAGTCCCCCATTGATCGAACCAATCGCTGAACTCATATCCGAACTCTTCTATCCATTTGCCCTTTCTCTCACCCGGCTGCTCCCTTCTTCCCCGTTCCTCTCTTTGGGGCGTTGTTACCTCATCTTCCTCCTCGTCGCTGGTGAGGTCGATAAATTCCACGGGCACGTCCTCGTCCAACCTTGGTCTTTTCCCCAGGTTCCTCTCTTCCTCACTGCTAGTGTCGCTTTCCGATGGGAGGACTATCGGCTCCCCTTCCTTTAGTGGCGATGGTCCCCTGGTCCCTTGCTTTCTCCTCCCCCTATTCACAACCAAGTTGTGATCAAATCCCACGTACAATTTCCTTTTCCTGGAGCTCGATTGTCCAGCCTGCCTTGACGACTGTCCCTCAGTAGGCCTGTTGATGGCGTTGCTGTCATTTTTATTTCCAAATTTTATTTTTGTCGTTTGCTGTTTTGCTCCCTGACTGGTCCTGTTCATGCATAATCAATCACCACAACCCCCTACCCATATACTCACATTCCTTCCCATCCCCATTTGCAGATTTGTCGGCCTTCTCAGAACCCTTGCTTGCCCTCGCGCAGTTGGTGATCCCGTCCCCACTTGTACCCTCGACACATTGTCCCAACACGTAGGTGCCCCATGTAGGCAGTCCACATCATCGCCCCACAAAAGCTATGGTACATTGTCCCCGCCCATAAATACCTCGTGTAGACAATCCCCAGCGTTACCCCACAAAAACTATAATACACTGTTTCATGCTCCCAGACCCAGTCACAGTCAGCCCAGGCAGTCTTCCCACGTTCCACAAAAGTCAAGACACACAAAACGAATAATCCCTGTGGTCATGATCACTTCCACAGGGAGGCGGTCCAGAACTTATAGCCAGTTGCCCGCCTTTCAGGCTGTCAATCCCCCAGTTTCCCTGTCCTGGGCTTCTTGTAGCCACTATTCCACTGGATCCCTGCTCAAAAATCTGACCAGTCTCTGTCCCGGAAATGACCCTCTTATGCTAGTACCATCGAGATCCTCAAGTTCAAATGTGTTCAGTCCGACCCGCTTAGCGATCCTGTAAGGTCCTTTGAATCTTTTTCCCAGATGCCCGGACCATGTGCTTTCAAGAGCTGAGTTCCTAATTAGCACCTTTTCCCCCACCTGGATTGACACCTTCCGAATGTTCTTAACCTAGTCCCATCTTGCTTTATCCCTCATTCATCTATCCGTCACACGATTGACTACTTCCTCGAGTGCGTCCTCATTTCTGGCGACCTGCTGACAGCGTGCAGTGATTAACTCTTCCGTGCTCTAGTGTGGGTCGTCATCTAGCCTGTTCCAGGTAGGGACCAAAGCTTCTATGGGAAAATCGATCTCCCTTCCATACCAGAGTTCTGCTGGAATACATCCCGTTGTTCTTTTTGGAGTCATGTTCTCGGCGAAGACTGCCTGCTTGAGAAACCGTGGCCAACTTCCCAAATTATCTGCTGCCAACTTTGCGATTGTGTTCTTCAAAGTCCGGTGACCCCTTTCTACCGGTGCATTTGCCTCAGGATGGTAGGGCTCGGTGATCTTGATCGGTACACACAGTGTCTTAAGCCTGTTCAACACCTCCTGGTTAACGAATTTTGTCTCATTGTCTGCTATAAACCTGCGCACGAAGGGGTGCCTTAGGTAGAAGTCTTCCACCCAGTCGGCCACTGCTTTCCCTGTCTTCTTCTTGAGAGCTACGGCTTCTACATAGCCACTAAGATTATCCCTTGCATCCAAGATGTATCTAAACCCATCCGTTGATACGGGCATAACGGCAAGGTCGAGGTGAACAAGGTGTCCGGGTCCCAGTACCCGGGTGTGTCTATGGGGCTCGTAAGCCCGTACGGAGCTCCTCTCTTGACATATCAGACACGTCTAACAGTACGTTGCGACCATGCCTGTCATTCCTGGCCAGAAATGCAGGGGCAAATCTTTGCAAGTGTCCCCTTTGACGACCGGTGACCCCCAGCTAGCCCATCATGCATTGCCTGAATTATGTCCAGCTGCCTAGACCTCCCACAAACGACGCGTCTAGCCATCATCCCTTCCTCTCTCTTGAACAGGTGGCCATTTCTTAGGACGTACTTTTCTACTTCCTCCCTTGCCTTGGGACTGACTTCCGTGGGTTGTTTGTTCCCTACAAGCAACAAACCGATTTCTTTGAAAACGCCCTCATACATTTGTATGAGGAAGAATTCTTGTTCGTTCTGATCCGCACCCTGCTCCTCCCGAGTGAGGTTGACTAGGTACTGACACTCCTTTTGCGCCCAGGTTTCGGCCAATGTCATTACGACGTCCCGTCCCCCTTCCACGGTCATTGTCATCAATTCCTCTTTGGCCCCTACTTCTGCTCCCCATGAGTCTTTTTCCTCTTTACGCCTGACCGTGGTGACTGGTCCTTCCCTGAGTTCTGCAACTAGTGCAGGTGCGCTCTTTTCCAAGGTCTGAATCAGCAACTATCCTGTTGTAATTGCCGGATCTGCCATCTCATTATCCACGACAAGGGTCCCTCCTTCGTACTCTAGGAAGGCGTCAATTGGTTCTGCGTCCTCTACTCCTTCTGGCGTGATACAAACCCTGCTCAGCCCATCTGCCCTATTTCGAAGCCTTGCAATTCGCTCGACCTTATAGTCGAATTGCCATATGAAGCCTATCCATCTGCCAACAGTCAGGTCTATGGGCTTGTAGTTCTTTAGGGCTCCGGCAACGTTGGTGGGATCGATCCTTAGGATAAATCGCCTCCCGCACAGGTATGCCTGGAAGGTCTTAAGACAATGCAAGATTGCTAAGACCTCCTTCTTGAACTGCAAATACCATCGTTCTGCTGAATTCAGGGTCCTACTTTCAAATCTGATTGGTCTTTCTTTGCCCTCCTCGCTTCTCTGTATCAATACTTCTCCCACTGCCAATGGTCCCCCGACTGTTTCTAAGATGAAGGGCCGTCCTACCTCGTCATTGAAACAGGGTGCTGCTAACGTGACCTGATCGGATGACAGGATGTCTTTCAGGGTCTGGGCTGCCTCTTCCCTATCCTCGGTCCAATCCATAGTGCCACCTTCCCTAATCATCGCGCGGATGGGTTCTGCTATCTTTGCGAAACCTTTGATGAAGATCCTCCAGAACCCAACCACCCCTAGGAAGGCTCGTACTTCCGTCGTGGTATGCAGGGGTGTCGGCCACTGAGAGATCTTATCAGTCTTTGCTGGATCGGGTCTCCTCCCATAAGCTCCACAGCGAAATCCCAGTATGGTTACTTCCGGGACGGCCAGGATGCTCTTGGGTCCTCTTGCAGTAATGTTGTAGACTAGGAATCGCTAGAGTATGTCCTTAATATCCTGCAAGTGGTCCCAGACGAACTTCCGCACTCCCGGTTGTACTTCCGCCTCATCGTTGTATCTTCCGCCTTTCACGGGATTATCATCTATGTAAGGTTCACAATTTTCCGGAAACATATCCCTTGCGACGGTGAGCATCCTCCTCTGAGCTTCTGCTCCCGCATTTGTGAAGCCCATAGGGGTCACTTGCATCTGCAGCTGTCCTACCGGGGTGTGCATTGCGGTATACGGTCTATCCCTCGCGTCGAGCGGCAACTGATCATATCCTGAGTACAAGTCTACTAGGGAGTAAACGCTCCGCCCTGCATGAGATCCTGCCAATAAGTCGGCCTGTGGAAGCGAGTCTGCGTCCCTAATTGTTACCGCATTGAGCTTCTGCAGGTCCTGGATCCACCTGAGTGTCTTATTGGGCTTCCTGAACACGAACCACTTGTCCACGTAGGGAGATGCGGTGGGTTCAACCACGAAAGAATCTATTTTGGTTCTAAGCAGGTCGGTGACCTCCGCTGCTATCCCAACTCATAGGCGGACCCTTTATCATTCCAACACTCGTGTTATACGATGTGGATCCTGACAGGGGGAACTAGCTTTTCGTCCAATCATCCTTTCTGATGATCGTTGAAGGCGAAAGCTAAATGAAACTCCTGACATGCTTTTCTTATCAACTGAGTTTCTTCCGCTGTTAGAAACCCTTCCACTCCTATTTTCATGGTATCTGCTACCTCATCTGGTATGCGATGCCCTTTCGTTGCTCGCCTCTCCCTTATTGCCCGCAAGATTTCCTCGTCCTTCTCCATGGCCTCTTCCTTTTACGTTTCTACTAGGATCGAGACCGACTTGGCCTTGTTGCCTACGGGTTTATACTTTCGCACACTACCTTCGGGGATCGTTCTCCTAAAAAATGAACGGTCGGGATCGGCCTTGCTACCTCCAAGACGCGGGGCTGGATGCTGACTAGCTTCCCATTCAGACAGTAGCCCTTTCGAACCCCATCCTCAAATCTGGCAAGCGCTGCGAGGTCCACCCCCACTTTGTGGTACCTGATGGCCTTAACGAGTTATAACAAATCTGGGATTTTAAGCACTACCTCCGACGTTTCGTTCCGGCCTTCCTTTGGTTTGGGCAGGCTGGCCCCAAGTTCGACTTCCGACTCTTTTTCTGTCACCATAACTTCCAGGGACTCGTCCTCTGGCCTCCTTTTCTTTACGGGCAAGCCCATCTTGATCCATTCCTTTTTACTAAAAGCCTCCTCAATCATAATTTCTACCCTTTCCCTCATTCCTTCCATTCGTGCGAATGCCCCCTTCCGTGCACTTTCTTCGAATGCTGGCGACCAGGTTGCCAATTTGCCCTTCGGAGGGTCCGCTCCAGTTCCGAGGAGTCGGAGGAGTTCCCCGCGACCAGTCACCGGATCCTCTATGTTTACCATGTACGTGCCATCATGCAAGTGCATGCCAATCATTTCTACATTGGCGCACCATGGCCTCCCAAGGATTATGTCATGGTCCATTTCTTCCATGACGGTCATCCGTTGGAAAGACCAGATGGATTCCCGGACTCCTGTCCTGACCACGCATTTGGTGACGTACCCTATGAAGGGGATTTCTCCACCGGCTCCCCTGATACCCCCTGCTACTTCCTTGTTTATTGTGCACCCAGTGATTGTTGCAAAATCCCGTCGTATGAGGGTAATTTCTGCGCCGCCATCCACTAATGCATCGGTGTGGTGAGTTCCGATCTGGATTTTAAGCTTTCCTACGGGCAGTGCGTGAAAGCGAAGTTTAGTGTCAGGCGGTGCTCTCATGACTTCACCACCTTCTCAGTCCGGCAGGTTCAGACGAATGTCAGCAAAAGCTTTTTCCAAATCTTTTAGGCCCCCTGGGATGCTTTGGAGGTTGGAGACTCCTTGTGGCGCCTCGGCCTCTTCCGTGTTCTGCTCTTGCAGTTCCGGGGCCTCCTCTACCTCTACGCGCTTACGCGTTAGCAACTGCCTAAGCCCTTTAAGCAGCCTCGGGCTGGCTTGCAGCATAGTCTGAAAAGACACGGATACCATGGTACCCAGTAACTTACTCAAGGTGCCATCGATTTCTGGCGAAGTCAGGATCGGAATTTGATACCTGAACTTCTTTTTTGCCGTTACCGGTTCCTCCTCCCTTGGCTTCCCATAGACCTTCTCTTGATCCCCGGCTTCGGCCTCTTGCTGGCCCGTGCTAGTCCTTGCGAGTTCTTCCATTACTGTATCTTGAATAAGTTTCTTTTCTGCGCCGGCCCGACGGGTGGTGATATTTACCCTATCCTGCGAATTGCTTTCTAGGATAAAATTGGCCTGTGGTCCCCGTCCCCTTGGCTGGTCCCAAACAATCTCGGCTATTGGCTCTGCTTCTACGACCGCTATCTCTAAGTTATTCAGGAGGATGACGGCTCGCTGCATCCCCCCTGGCGAGTTCCAATTGACGCGCTCACCCCTGGGAGGATCTCGCCTTTGAGGGACCTGCTGCACCTTTGCCGCTCGATGTCGTGATTGAATCTCGGGCAGGCCGGTACGAAATGCCCAATCATGGTGCAATATTTGCATTGTTCGTTGGCCGGGTCCCTCCTGCCAAATCCCCGGTTTGCTACAGCTGCCGAAACCACGGCTTCTTGGGGCGGGAGGGCGGGTCGGGATACTTGCGCCTGCATCACTAATAACGCGCTTTCCATTCTGTCCATCTTGCTGTCAACCCCGTGCACTCGTTCGTGCAGGCTCTCTATCCCCTTCTTGACCTTATCCCCCGTCTTTCCGGTGAGATCTATGACCTCCCCTTCCTTAAGCAGGGCTAGCGTCTCGGTGACCACTGTTTTTTCTGCAAGGTCTGTTACGGTGCTGAAGTCCACATCTCTCGTGTATTCGAACTTACTGGTCTGCTGGTATGCTGACAAAATCTTATCTTTATCAAACTCGGAAAACTTTCTGAGGAAGTATTTACTCATTATGCGGTCTGTTACCCCGGGAATTTGCAGAGCCACTAACGTGAACGCCCTTAGGAAATCGTTGTAAGTCGCATAGTTTTTTCTCTGGAATGCGGCTAATTCGGCCTCTGTTGCCATTTTCTCTGCCTTCAAGTATTTCTTCATCATCTCATTCCTGGTTTCTTTCCAGGATCCACTTGAGGCGACGATGGCCATAATGTCCCTTCCCAAGCTTAGCGACACGTGCTGCCCTAGGTGCTCCATCTTTTTCTCTTCTGTCCATTTTAGTAAGGCTGCTAGGTTCTCATAATCTACTAGAAACTCCGTAATGTTGGCCCCATCGAACGTGAGTTTCTTTTTTGCATCTGCGAGATACCCCTGGTTCTTGTTCAGCGTCTTGGTGAGGGTGGCGACTACTCTCTTGAGACCATCTTCGGAGCCACCCGCTTCTCCGGCTGCACTGGTCCCTTCCCCTTCCTTGCTTTCCCTCTGCTTTTCCCTGGTTTTCGACGTTCCTTCTGGGTCGAACCATCCTAGCACCCTTTCCCTAAGGCTCCAGAGTCCGTCGCACGCCCCTGTTACTTTTGGCGTGGCTGGCAGTCGGCTAGTGCCGCTGTCGATGGCAGGCGGGGTCATAGCGTTTTTCGTCCCCTCCGCCGGGGGGTCGTTCTTGTCCTTCCCCTTCTTGCTAGGCGTTCTTTTGTGGCTATTATCCTTCTCCTCATACCTGGTCTCGTCCTGACCGGTCCTGCGTCCCTCACGTGACCCTGTGCCCTGGGGGTCCTCCTCATCCTCGGCCATCATCTGCTCGATAAGCCTTGCCTTAAATTCTGCCGTCTGCTTTTCTATTTCTGCCAATTTTCGACTGGCGTCCGAGACCTTTATCTTTTTAGGGGTGGCTCCAGTTCCGAGGGCTTGTTCTCATATCGTTTCCTCCTTCCCTGTTTTCCTGCGGTCCCCTTTTGCTACCCCCAGTTTTTCCTGAGCTTTCTCCAACTGAGGCGTCTTTTCCGTCTTCTCGGGTTCCTTCCAGTTTGGCTGATTCTCGATCCCTGGCTGATCCCTCGTTTCGTTCCCCGTCCCCATTCGTGCCCTGATCCCCTCCGCTCTGCTGGTCATCGATCCCTTCCTCAGTCGCCATTTTTTTACCTAGCCTGCATATGAAAAAAAAAAAAAAAATTTGCGAAAAAGTGGCCGGTTGTTCATAACTGCCCTAGCCTCGGCCCTAGAACCCGCCTATTCCCATGTTTTTTGCGTCTTACGTTAATCGGCCCGACTCTTCAGACTTTTCTTTTCCAGGGCGTCCTCCAGGTTTTCTTCCGCCGGGGAACTTGCCGCCGCTGCTTGGCATTTCTTTACTGCCGCGCTTAGATTCTTAGGGCGGTGCCTGAGCCCAGTGGCTTTCCTATCGGGTATGGCCCTTTTGGCTTATTGGCATCCAGGTGCCCCAAAATTCTTGGAGCGGGTGGTTTTCCTAGTTCCTCCCTGCCGCATCGTTGGGTCGACCGGAAATCCAACCATTGCCCCTCTTTTGCTGATGCCTGTCTACTCATCTTAATACCCATCCTTTATTTCCCTACCTCTTTCTAACGCGTTTTCTCATGCTGGTTCCTCAGGCCTGCCCTGCTCATCCGCTTCCTCGAAAAGGTCGGCCAACCCAGCAAGGTAATTTTCCCCCATCTCTATTTCCCTGATAATTATTGGCTCATATTCTTCAAACGACAGGTGGGGCAATCCGAATATCAAGATCTCGAGTAATTCGAGTAGTTCCTAGGCCTGATTCCCCCAGAACGGCCCATGTCTGACCGACACATCGTAGAACATGCTCGTTGTTTGTGACCGAAAGAGGTGGATCCAGATCAAGGTCGAGTCCACCAGGTCCCTAGCTCTCTTGAGGCTACCGAATACCAAGTCCACCATGAAACGAGGTACTCGACACCTCAACCCAGTCATTGGGGCCTTAAACTCTCGCCACCCTCCGACCTCCACCCGAGTTCTTAATCCCACGTTTCTTCTCCCCCGCACTTCTTGGCCCACCCTGTTCAACACCCTAGTAGCCCTCTGGAAGATTGGTAGCAACCCGTGACCTAGCGCCAATTCCGTTCCTAACATGTGCCACCCAAGTTCTGGCAGGTATACGGTCCCCGTCACCCTAAGATTGGTGTACAGGTCGTCCCCCGGTCCCCGGTTAATTCTCAAACCATCCCACAAACATTCCACCATCATGAACGTCTGACCTCTTCTCAGGGTCACGACTCTCCACTCGGTATCCAATCCTTGAATCATGTAGCTTGCTGGGAGCGACACCTCCCATCCACCTCCGTTTTTCGTGGGTGGCCACGGGTGCATGGGTCGTCGCGGGATCCGGACGCGTCCCATCGCCATTTCTGACTTAGAAGTCCCCTGCACAGTTTTAAACAGCACGCGAGTTTGCTTATTCCACTTGGTCTTCAATTTTCCGCCCGAACAACTCCCCGATCCCTAGCCTGGCGCTTTTTTTCCCCTTCAATTTCTTTCCCCTCTCTTCGGCCCTATTACCGACGTGTTCCCTCCTCCATCTGCTCATATAATCGGTACACATCATCTACGTATGCCATCCCTAGGTTTATTTCCCGCCGGACGACACCCCACAGGACCTCACTTCCCACGACCGGAACCCTCGGTCTGGTACTAAACACAGCATGCAGGATGCGCAACACCTCATACTTCTGCTCTCAGCTAAACGGCCCCATTTTTAAGAAGGCCCGGTAGTATTCTCGATGTACCATCGCCTCTTCATATGTCAGGCTTGCGAGGTCGGCTACTGCTTGTCTAACAAGTTCCAAACCGCCCAACTTTTCCAGAAAGAAGGGCGGCAGCCTCATTCGTACATTTTCACTAGGCAATTCGAAACTCCCGACCGTGGCTACCCTAAGGTCTGCTGTTACATCGCCAACCCCGGGATCTGCGAACTCAAACTCCGCTCGCCATACTAACTGCCATGCCCCCTCAAACATGCTCAACGGGTCTTCTCCAGATGCCAGCCGAACTCCGAACTCCCTCCACCCGTTTTCTGATATATACAACCGCCCTTCTGCACGCACGTGCCCCCGTGGGTCCGGGTTCCATTCCCCATTCTCAGTCGCACGTCACTCAACTTTCGTCAACAAATAAACCATATTTTCCGCAAGCTCGATCCCGACCCAATCCGCCACCTGGTGCCATCCCTCGCCTATTGCCGGCAAGCTAACCTCTATCCCACTCGGTACTTCCCTAGGTGGTTCAATGCCCAAAGGGCGCTCTTCAAGGAACGTCCTTCTTTGCGCCATCGTGCGCTCGCCTTTGATCTCCCGGCTCGCGATCCGCGCTGAACCCTACAATGGCCAGACACCCCATTCCCTTGTCTTAACAATTTTTCCCATGTTTGCCTGGCCCCACGGCTTTCCAGCGCTTAGTCGAACCACAGTACCTCGAACAGTTTGAACACATCATCCATATAACAGGGTGTTGTTGCTACCTAACGGCGGATTATGGCCTCCCTAGTTTCTGGGGCCACCTCCTGCCGGTCGTTCCTTTCAATGTCCAAAATGATAAGGACCTCCTGGGCTCTATCGCCGTGGAAGGGCCCGAATTTCAAGGATGTCCTATAAAATTCCCCTGCTAGCCACGCGCAGTTCACGTGTATTCGCTCCATCGTGTCGGCTACCCCTGTTATGTGATAAAACCCCCCAAACCAGTCCGCCACGAACTCGGGCACCCAGGTCTTGATTCGAGTGCCAGGCGGTTTAAATTCCTTCCATCCTCCCATCACGACTCTACTGCTGACCGTATCCCAACCCTTGTTAGCAAACCTTTCCCCCGCCTGCCGAGCCCTTGCCGCGAGCGTTGTGCAGAACAGGTGTCAACCTTGCTCTGAGAGAACGATCGTCCCGACTGATTCCACCCTTCCTTCCGCAATCTCTTCCCATCCTTCCTCTTCCCTCAACGGGTTCCAAACACGCTCTATCCATAGGTACGACAGCTCCGGCACAATCTCATATCCCTGCCAATCACATGCGGTCCCCTTCCATTCATTGCTTGGCGGTACTGACATTTCTACTCCCCTTCCGACTCGTCTTGGTTCCCATGTGCAGCCCCATAATTCGAGTTTCAGGGCCATCGCTCCCTACCTGCACATAGTCGACAACCCGTTTCCCCTAGGTAAGCCACCCCCCCTTCAGAAATCCCAGTCCTCTATTTCGTCCCCGTCCTCCTCATCACTGAAATCATCCTCCTCGTCCAAGAACAACTCTTTCACCCCTTCCAAGAAGGTTTCCTCTGCTGTCACGTTTCGGTAAACTATCTGCCAATACACCAGACTAGGAACAAAGACTTCGTCTGTGCTGAGGAGGTTTAACACCTCAGCTAATTCTTCCGCCCAGTTTCCTTCAAACGACCCTGCTTCCACCGACAGTTTAAAGAAGTCTTGTCTAGCACATTGGTACAGCCTTAGGCGTGTCATCGATTGGCATATACGTTCCAGTCTATCCCTGGTCCCAAAGACTGCATCCACCAGAAACGGGGGCAACACGCACCTCATTGTCCTAAGAGGTCGTCTCATTTTTTTCCGGTCCCCGAGTTCAACTCGTACCTCCATCCTTTCCATCTCCATTTCTGCCCGCTGACACGCTGCCCACACCACTTCCCGTTCCGCTTGCCTAAACAGCTGATCCGGTGCCGTGCCCAATACTAGTCCCACTACCATTCCATTTTCCAATTCCTGTGATAGGTAGACCCATCCTCGAGCTTCCACTGTTCCCCAGAATTCTAGGTCCATCAGGCTAGGCGAAAGTGTCGTCAGGCTGACCTTAGTCCAGATTGTCTCTATCCAGAGGAACGCGCCCTTCTCGTCCAGCATCACTGTTTCATAGGCTGGCTCCAGGTCGGTTCACATCCCTTCTTCCGGGAGAACAACAGACACCCCATCCCTTACGTCTACAGGCATTTCCGGGCCACTAGAGTAGACCGGAGGCGACAACCATCGCGCTATCTTGCTTCCCCGACGCTCGTCCTGTTTTCACATGAGAGCACCACACGGCCCCTCATGGCCATATGGTTCCCTTTCCACTTCTCGATGAGAGTTGTTTTCAGACCCCTCATCCGGATCTTCCTAACTTTTCTTATCCACTTCCCAGGTGCTGTTACCCTACCATACCCCCAATCGATCACCAGTGGCTCGCATTCCTTTCTCTTGGTTCCACTTTCTTTCGACTCCTATCCAGCCTCTTCCTCATGCTCTCTCACTCGTGCGGACTTAGACTTGAAGGTGAGAATAGACTTAGAAGCTCGGTCCCATCCAACATTCATCAGGCAACTTTACAGAGGGAGGTACAAAAAGCAAAACTCAAGCAAATATCGCACACATGTCGGTCATCTCCTCACCGACCTTTTCCCCGGAAATGGTCTCTCCACTGTCACTATCGGCAGGGTTTTATCCCATACCTCAAGCGCAGCTCAACCGTCGCGAGCGCGGTACCCAGGTCCCGGCAAGGCATTCGCCCTTTCCTCCGTACCCAGAATACCCCATCCCGACTTGTCGCTCGTGTACCCACCATTAATCTCGGGAATCACCCCGCACATCTCGGTAGGGCCATTGAAGCCAGTCGTCCGGGCACTCACTTCCATTGGTCCGATAAGGAACAACCTTTCTCCAAGCCAGGCTACGAGAAGCTACTGATCGCCTCCCAGACTCCGTCTTTGCCCCCACGCAGTGCTACTCCCTCCGCCAGTCCACAAGCTAGGCCCCGCCTGAGGAATGTTTCACACCCCGCCCGACAGATCAACCGAGCCGAAGCCCGTCACCGCACGGACGAGAATGCTAATAAGCACTCGACGTGACAAACTCCCATTAGACAGCTCAGGGGCCTGACCCCCGCATACGAACAAAAGGCAGTCTGCAAAGATAATGATGTTTGGCAACCCGCAGTGGCCGGTGCAGACCCCTCCTTTCCTTCCAAATGGCAGGGCGCTCGAAAATCCCAGTCATGCAATCACAAGTCCCAAGTGGGACACACATAGAACAAGTGTTTTTCCCTTGGTGCACCCGGCGCTTCCGACCCATTGCTCACAGGTTTTTACTCAGGACAGTGTGTGCCACTCACCCCTAAATTCCATACATAGTGCCCGGTTCTTTTTCGTGAGCATCTTCAAAGGTGAGCTAGTTTTTTTGGAGTCTAGCAACTCCCTTCTTTCCCTTATCTTCGCTTGTGTGTCCGTTCATAGGGCAGGATTGTTCCTTCTCGATTACCGTTTGTGTTCATATGAGGTTCCTTCAAGCATTTAAGTGTGGTGCACGGAGCCCGCTGGGCTCCGAAGAGGAGAGAAGGCACCAAGGTCGGTCGGATAGCTCCGCCGCGGGATTTTCATTGGAACCCGGACTAGCCCGGAATCCCAACCGCCTGCAAGGTAACCGGAGCCCTTCTTTCGCACGAAGAGGAAGGGTCGACCTGCGGCTTACCCAAGGCTTCGCTGGCCTGACGAACATCAGTCCAAGGGAAGGAGGACTAGAGTCATCTCCAAACGAGATGGCTGAGCAAAAGTGCAAGCATGCATGTTCTTCCTCCAGGCCTGGCCTTGCCATGCGCCCAACCACCCTCAAATCTGATTCTCTCAAAGGATAGAGCACACACAAGTCCATATTCCTTATCTTTATGTTTGTGTTCTCAGTCATGCGTCGGGCCCCCCCCCTCGAGACCGTATGGGTCAGTTTAACCCATTACTCGGCACCTCCACCATTTTTGTAGGGGCCGTACGCTGAAGGACTTTCGAGCCTCAGTCGACCCCACTGCGGGTCCCATTTGGCTCGACCCGCCCACAATCACGCTCAGGGCGCGGGTCGTTCGTCCCAGGGGCACCCCCACCTAGTGCTTTGAGATGGATGGGGATGGACCGTTTGCGAGACGACTTTACATTGGGGGATGTAGCTCCGCTCTCGCGTTAAGATGGTAGCTCTTCGTCCACTCGTGGCGTTTTCTCGATTCAATTAAGTCTGGTCAGGCAATTGCTCCTTCCAATACGCAGGCAGTCCAGGGAGTTCTTTGAGAGCTTATCTTCTTTCCGTGTGTAGGCCAAGCGTCATCCATTGGGCCACACACCTTTTCGCTAAGTCTAGTGGATCAAGACAGCCCTTACGGCATCCTTGGGGTGGGACGGCATCGCCCGAACCCTTAGCCGCTACATTTTTTTTGCTTGAGCCACTAGCGTTGCATTCACCTATCCAAGACTGCCCTTAGTCCTTCCGGGCTTGCATTGCATTCAAGAGAGTCATTGCATTCAATCGTCACACAAACCACATCCAGGCGTCTACCACTCACCCAAGCATCCGACCATCAACCCCATCCTGCATCCATAGTTTATGCAAGGTGTAAGTCCTTCCCTTATCGATTTCTGGCGGATCCAGTCCCGCTCGACACCCATCCCAAGCTACTCACCTGCACAACACCACACAAAGCATGGACCAAATACAATCCCCATTGGGGTCAACACACCGCCCCTTCCCACAKGCCTAGGTTTCCTTTGCCCTTCGATGATCCTTTGGTTGTCTTCCCCTTCCCTCAAGCAAAACCATGCCTTCACCTTAGTCATGCAGTCGGGGAAGATGGTTGAGTCAAACTGACCTCGTCCAAAATCAGCACTCCTTTTTGCTTTCGCAAATGCTCTCAATAGTTCCGTATACTTTCCTTCTTGGTGGCACAAGGGACCGGCAACCCTTCCCTTGCCCTCGCTTTCCACCAAGTGAGGACTAAGTTCCTTTCCGTTCGTTTCCTGGCAATGTAATTAGTGAGGGTAGAGGTTAGTCACATGCCATGGGGGTGGGGAAGGGGTGACGAAAGGGTTAGGGGTTAAAGAGTTTTGGAGGAATGGAGGAAGACGGAGGGAGAGGGAAAGGAAGAGAGAGAGAAAGAGGGAGAGAGAGAGAGAGAGAGAGAGAGAGAGAGAGAGAGAGAGAGAGAGAGAGAGAGAGAGAGAGAGAGAGAGAGAGAG